GCACGATTCCATTTTGGGCTATAAGCAACATTTTTCCTGCCTTCTTTAGGCACCTGTGTGGCTAGTAGCCATCTTTGCTACAGTTGCTATGGCTTCACTGCTATCTTGATTAAGGGCAACTATGTGGTATGGATTAACCAAGAAGACGACAGGTCTCCAAAGATACTTTTGAATTGGGATGGATCTTTGTAAGATAATTCATCTCTTGTTTTAAAAACAAGATTTATAAAAGACAGGATTTAAAAACAATGTTTGTTTCACAGGTATGGAAGCTGCTCTGCCACGCATTCATACAAAAAGCATCCGTTGCTGGCAGCCAAGCTTTTAACTTGAATCACCTGGGTGGTATTGGTTTTAGAGACTTTGAATTGTTTGCACTCGTTTTTTTTTGTTTGTTTGTTTTTGTTTTTTTTCGAGACAGGGCTTCTCTGTGTAGCCCTGGCTGTCCTGGAACTCAGTCTGTAGACCAGGCTGGCCTCGAACTCAGAAATCCGCCGGCCTCTGCCTCCCAAGTGCTGGGATTAAAGGCGTGCGCCACCACTGCCAGGCTGAATTGTTTGCACTCTTAGAGCTTGGTTTTGCCTCACGGATTGTGGTTGTGACTTGCGTCTTCTCTTTTGAAACAAAAATGGTACCTCATTTTGATATTGCAGGAACACACAGTTGATGGATTTTAAGTTTTTTTTTTTTTTTTTTTGCTTCGAGACAAATCTCACAACATAGCCCTGGAACTCCCTCTGTAGACCAGGCTGACCTCAGACTCACAGAGATCTGCCTGCTTCTGCCTCCCAAGTGCTGGGATTCAAGGTGTGCACCACTACCACCCAGCTGAGATTTTAAACTTCTTTAAGAAGACATTTTTGAATTTTACAAAAAATTTAAGTGAGGAAAAAGCTGGATATTCTTAAGGAACACCTTTAAACTTATAAGAGTTTAGGACATTTTAATTTTATAATATACTTTATTATATCTTTATTAATATTTTATCTTGTTAAATAATTAAATGAAAGCCTAAAATTAGGGCCACAGATATGGGCAAGATAATAATCTAAACAGTCTGGTGAAGGGTCTCTCCTTACCTAAGGTCTATTCAGGCTAACAGAGATTGATTTAAGAATGTATATCTAGCCGGGCAGTGGTGGTGCACGCCTTTAATCCCAGCACTTGGGAGGCAGAGGCAGTTGGATTTCTGAGTTCGAGACCAGCCTGGTCTACAGAGTGAGTTCCAGGACAGCCTGGGCTATACAGAGAAATCCTGTCTCAAAAAAAAAAAAAAAAAAAAAAGTATATCTAACCTCCTTGTTTTTGCTAACATTGTTAAGTTATAGCTATATTGTTAAGTATAACATTGTGGTAAACTGAGTCAAACAAGAAGCTGTTAATATTTTACAATGGTTTGCTATATAAGGATCAGGAAAATAAAGTTGCTAATCTCCCTATGGACCGTATTAATAATAAAAAAAAAGCTTCAATTCGGAAATTGTTATTTTTATTAAACTGTTAAAGATGACTAAGCTGTAATAGGTTCAGAACTATGCTTTTTGCCCTGCCAAGCGCTAATGTAACTAGTTACAGGAAAGCCTTTATTTAGCCTTTTGTACATGCTTTCAAGGTGTAGCTTAAAGCAAGTAACAAAAATATAAACAAAGTTTGTTACTTAATAGCTAATGGTCCTTGTCAGAGACCTGCTGAATATGGAGTTTAAGGTGTTTACTGTGATAGAGACCCCCAGCTCCTAGCAGTGACCCCAAAGTCTACAAGAAGATAATGAGGCATAACAATCATGCTGACTCCACCCAGATTGTGGTAACACTAAACGCTGGGCAAGACTTCCTCAGTGTCTCACTTGCTGCCAGGCCCCAGCACAAACTGTGGACAAGCAGGACACTGGAGAGTTGATTGCTCTGCTTTGCTTAGACAAGGAAAGGTCAGTCCCCTGATATTCCTTCTCCACAGAAAAGCTGCTCATCTTCTGGGCCTACTGGCCGAACGAAGACTGATGTTGCCCTGGTACCTCTGCCTCCAGCACCGTGGAAACCGCAGGAACCTGGGGTGACTGTCTAGGTAATGGACTGGTTTCTGTCATTTTAATTGAGACATAAGCCATTTGGATTATACTTCCTGCTATAATTTATCCTTTTCAGATCTCTGATGGTGTCGACTAGCTAGGCTAACTGTAGCTTTGTCAGCTTGGCAACAGCAGGCAACCAGCTCTTTCCCCCAAGGCTGCAGCCGCCTTGCTAATTATTCAGTTCATTAGTTAGTTAAAGCTACTCTATCTCTTGTTAAGAAAAGGCAGACAGCTAGGTTTGCCTTGCTAATAGGCTTCATATTAAAGGATAAACAGATTTACTTGTCAATGACTGTTCTCAATAATAACTACTCATGTCTCTGGTAAATAATTAGATTTTTTTTTTTTTTCAAAAAAGGCTTAAAAGTCCGTGCAAGTTCTCAGGGGCTCAGTAAATGATTTAAGGTGTATAAATGCAAGTTCTGAAGGTATAAAATAATCTAAGAATTATTAATAATTATGTCTACAAGTACATAAATAATGGGAAATGTTTTAGATTTTTCCCCCTTCCCTCTATGCTAACATTATATTAAGATTCTATTTCAGCTGTCTTACAATGTGAACTTCAGTACAGATTAATTTCAATATATTTAAAACTTTTTTGCCGGGCAGTGGTGGCACATGCCTTTAATCCCAGCACTTGGGAGGCAGAGGCAGTTGGATTTCTGAGTTTGAGACCAGCCTGGTCTACAGAGTGAGTTCCAGGACAGCCAGGGCTACACAGAGAAACCCTGTCTTGAAAAACCAAAACCAAACCAAACCAAATCCAAAAAACAAAAAAAGGTTTTTTTCTTTTTCTTTCTTTCTTTTTTTAAAATCTCTTTTGTAAACTAAAAAATTCATGTTATCTTGGGGGGGGGTCAAAGAAGTCATAAGACTTGACCACCCCTGTCACATACATGTCAGGCCAGTAGCTTCCAGATAAGTACAGTTCCCCATGGGTTTGTTCTTGAGAGTGGGATTTCTCTTTTCCCAGGTCCTGGGACCCCATTCCTTCCTTCCCCAATTACTTGGACTTTGGGCTTGAAAGTTCCAAATGTAAGATTTTCCTTTAAGTTCCCAATTTTTAACTTGTGTTCTTGTCTATATTTGTCTCCACAGATTTCCACTTGGCTGACAGATACTACTTAGGAATCAGCTGTGAACTGCAAACTGCTGAGCCCTGGACTTGCTGAACGCTGATATGAACCAGTCCAGCTGATGTGATGGCTTCGTGTCTCTTCCGCTGAGTCAGCTAGCCAGACACTTCTGATGAGTTCTCCATTGCCCAGCCTTTGACTAGCCATTCAGCCTTCCTGGGTCCTGACAATGACAGCCTCGTTGCAGCTGGAAGTAGTTAGAAAATTGAACACAACATACCCTGTCCCCTCAAAGGCTGAAATGCCACATCAAAAGAAAACTTCCTGACATAGGGAACAGAATGGCTACCCATTATGCCAACTGGCATACCAGGAAAGTGGGCTCAGATTTATCAACAGGTAGATTCATTAATTGAAATAGTTCTACAATATGATCGGGCTGATGGCCTGCTTTATACAGAACGAAGAGGTATTATTATATGGCTTTAAGAGGAAATTATTATTTCCACACAAGCCATTCAGGATTATAATCTGAGTACACTCAAAGAAGCATCGCAGCCAGGTAGTGGTGGCGCACGCCTTTAATCCCAGCACTTGGGAGGCAGAGGCAGGCGGATTTCTGAGTTCGAGGCCAGCCTGGTCTACAGAGTGAGTTCCAGGACAGCCAGAGCTACACAGAGAAACCCTGTCTCAAAAAACCAAACCAAACCAAACCAAACCAAACCAAACCAAACCAAACCAAACCAAACAAACCAAACCAAACAAAAAACAAAACAAAAAACTAACAAAAAGAAGCATTACAAAAAAGGGACCCAAGATACCTGATTGCATGGACACAGGGCACATGGCACATGGGGGAAGGGCCTGTTGGAGGAAGTTCAAAAGCCACCAAGATACCGGGATCAAAGTACTAGGGAGGGATCACGTGGGAATGGCGCAAGGATCTTATGGAGCCCTGTGGCTGAAGTGGAAGGGAAAGACTCAGAAGGGAGGAGCCAGGATGTCTGGGCAATGTAGGGCAGCATTCAGTCTCAAGCAGAGAAAACCTGAAAAGAAAGAAGCCAAGGAGGAGGAAAGAAAAGTCAAGGGCATCTACCCAGTTTCTCTTGTAAGATTCCTGTAGCTGCTAAGCAGTCCCTCCCAATATGATGAGGGTTTAGAGCTGACACTGGCTATGACTTTTATGCATCAGCAGTCTTGACTGGTTTTAGGCAGTATGCAACAGGTTTCAGAAGCCCCAGATGCACAGGTCCCACAAACTGTCTCCAGTGTGACCCGGGGCACCAGAGGAGTTGGTGGGCTGGCTTGGCTTTAACTGGGCCCAAACCCAGCATCATGGTGACATTGACCTTAGACTAATAGGTCCATGTCCATGTGTACTTGGGTTCAGGGTCACCACCTCAAAGCTGCTATGGTCCTGATCTGGACCAGGTCAAGGACAACAGGAAGCATCTTCAGCCTCTGCCTCGACCTTTGGAATTCAGTGTGTAGTGCTAAGCAAGTGTTTTGTGGTTAAAAAAACATTTATTTTATATCTATGTGTGCACACTTGACTGTATTAATTTGTACATGCATGCAGGAGCCTGTGGAGGTCAGAAAAGGTGTTGCACCCCCTGGAACTGGAGTTATAGATGGTTGTGAGCACCATGTGGTAGTGGGAACCAAACTGAGATCCTCTGCAGGAGTGCCAAGTACCCTTAGTCCCTGACCCATCTCTCCAGGCCTGTTTGGTGGATTTTTGTTTCTAAATAACACGTGTATATCCTAGCAGATGTATGGCTTTATAGAATCTTTGATTTACTATTTTTATTTAGCATTTTGCATCGTAAAGTATTTTACTGAAGAATGAATTATAGTGTATATAAGACAAATTTATTCAAGTTAGTGTTACAATAAAGATGATACATGGGTCCAAGAGGAAAAGCAGGTGAGGGTGGAGGTAAGTAGGGAGTCAGGGAGAGGGTCTACAAAGAGGTTCACGGGGGAGCTTGAGGGCCCAGCTGTCCTCCCTAGAAAAGCAGTGCCTACTAGCAAGCCTGAGGTTTCCCTGCAGACAGGCCCACACCACCCTCTTGTGGTAGGAGTGCGGTGATGCATCATTTTGGACCTCTAATTCTCACATAAGGTCATGGACCTGTGAAACCAGCTATTGGTGTGAGTTAGAAGGTGCCTGGAGCAAAGCTGGTACAGAATCTCCCACAAGCCCTGTTGGTACCAGAGACCATAGTGAACTGGAGTGAGTTTAGCAGGGAACGAGCTTAGGCCCCCTTTAAAAGATAAACCCCGAGATAAACCTCGAGCGCCAAGGGCTGTGCTGCTTGGAATTTCCCTAATTTCGGAAAAAGTCGAGGTGCAGAGTAAGCAACTAGTGGTCACAGAGGGAAAAGGTGTTATTGAGAGCCAGAGAGAGGCCATCGCTTATCAGGTCTGTCCCTGGTGAGCAGATGTCCCTGTCTCTGCACAGGACATGATCAGATCCCGTGCCTCTCTCCAGATGTGGGACACGGGTTACTGTGTCTAGCAAATACAGACATGGCTCTTTCTCGTTGTAGCTGGTGGGTGGTGATAGGTCCATGAATGTTTGCAGGGTAATGGGGGCTCCAGGGGCTCTAAATCCATGGTGTTGTCCTTGCTCTGGGCCCTATCCATTTTGCAAGGAGTTCCCCTCAGGTTCCAATCATAAGGCTCAGAGCCTCTACATCTGGAGAAAGAGGGAATCAGAGAGGAAGAAAGTAAAGGAGTGTGGAAGGAAGGGAAGAGGGGAGGGAGAAGTTGCCCGAGATCCTGGCTTGGGCCTGAGTGAGGCACAGATACAATGGCACAGACAGCTCACACAAAAAGCAGACATACCACACACACTTGGGATACTCTGAAATGCTCTGATGTCCCCCTAGTCCCAACAGAGTCTACATTTTGAGTACAGGAGGGGCTCAGTCAACTTACAGGGCATCTTCAATTAAAACCACAGCTCTGTCCTCAGTGCAAATTTTCCTGGAGTCTTGGGAGGAACCTGAAGAATACAGACCCCATTCTGACCTCTGGGTGTCCTAAGGTCAAAATTAAGGCTTTGGGACAGAGAGTTCCTATGAGCTTGTCCCAAGTCAGGGCTTGGGTTGTCAGCCATAGCCAGGTGAGGTTCTCTGTAGCCTGTTGTTTGGAGCTAATCAGGCCTCTAAAGTATCTTTTGGGGCAGGAATTGGGAAACTTTAGGGCAGTGTCAGATAGGGTCTACCAGGAGACCCATGACTCAGACCAGTTGCTTGGAATCTGTATCTGTGGGGCTCCAGGGAATGGCGGTGCTTGTTCCAAGCAAATACACCGATTCCTATGATGATGATGATGATAGCGACAATGATGACGGAGATAACTTCTGTCTTCACTGCAGTTGGGGACTCAGTGTGGACCTTCAAGCTCTCTGGTTCGTGGTTGTCGTTTGCTAGACCTGGAGCAGGGATGTGAATGAGAATTACCTTACATAATGAATTCGCTCTGGTATCCCTTTACCCTTGTGCCCCTCCCACCCCTCTGATGCTCCCACCATGGACTCCTATAGAGGTGGGGAAGGGCTGTGCAGGAGGTTGAGGGAGCTATGGGTGAGGTTCCAGGAAGAGTGCCTATGTGGCCTGAGAGGGGGAACTGTGAAGGGAATTGGAGAATATGAACAGTTTCCAGCCCTTAGCTTCTTCCTGGTCTTGGGGTTCTACCAGAGACAACTGATCGGGTTTGAGGACAGCAGTTATGATGTACCTTCAGGTCACACCAGAAGGAACTCTGATGTTACTCCATCTCCTACAGGCTCATATGACTGTGTTGGATTGAACTGGTGTGAGGGACCAGAGGAAGTGGAACCCGGAGGGACTATACAGGGAAGGGAAGGGTGGGGAGAGCAGCAGGCTTAGATGCATAGGGTCCTTGTTTGCATGTGGAAGCAGATGGAATCCAGAACTCAACTGTGAGAGGTTCCTCTCTGCTCCTTCTTCCCTTGCTCACCCACTCACTTCCTAGCACACAACTTACTAGTAACATTCAGGATGAAGTCTGTGTAATTGCTCTGTCTTCCACGCAGCTTCCAACAGTACTTCCCTGCGTGGATGCCCTGAGCATCCATGATCACCAGCCGGGCCTGGCCTCCTTGAATCTGAAGCTGCCATGACTCCTCAGAGTAGTTTCCTGGAGGCATTTGATTGAAGATGATTCTAGTCTTTCCGTAGGCAGTCAAATTAACGGTGACGTCTCTGAAGTTGTTGGAGATGTTACAGGCCATCACCACACGATGGCCTCTGTCTACAGATACCTCATGCTCAGTGCAATTGGGGTCGTCCCAGACTGTGTAGAGAATACACTTTTTATGCTGCAGCCTAGGTCTTTGATACCCCTACCCATGCCCTGACATTGACCCCAGGCACTCTCACTGCTCCATCATCAGCTACTCTCAGAGAAACATGGCTCCATTCAACCTCCTCCAACAGTTTCCGCCATATTGGGTCTGTGAAGTCAAGATCACCACCTGGGCCCGCGCTTGGTTTGACCCGCCCACCATGAGGCTAGTGAAACCCAGACTTACTAGTATTGTAGGCATACAGGGAGGGCGCCAGGAGAAGGAGGGCCCAGAGCGTTCTGAGAAACAGGCCAGAGGATGTTACAGCATAGGCCAGCATGGTTCATTCCTAGGACGGGCCTCAGGAGACAATTGTTGTGGTCTGCGTCTTTTGTTGTTTTTTGTTATTTTTTTTCCCTTTCTGGACACTATATAGAGAAAGGACAAAGAAGGGATCAGAAGTCCCCAAAGCAGCTTCAGACACCCACAAAAATAGCACCAGTCTGAGAAGAACTTTGTAGCCCAGTAACCTCCTGCCCACCCCTTCCCAGATTCCTGAACCTACCAGGGCTCTCAGCCACCTGTGAACCCCCTCCTCCTGTCCTCACATTTGGTAAGGAGTGTGGGGCTGCCTGAGGTATAGCAATGAGCAAATGACAGCCAGGAGACCGGCACCCTGAACTGGCTGTTTATACACTTCTTTCTCCAAGCTTTATAGCAAACCAGGCAAACTGTCCGAGTTGTACTTTGTACAGGAACAGGGTCATGTTACAGTTTCATCACATTGGCATGTGACCTGTGAACTGTGTCTCTATTGTACACTGAGCGGCCTCTGTTCAGTGCGCACTGCCTGCCTCTCAGAACTGCCTGGCTCTCTCTGGTGGCTCTCTCTGCTGTTCTCATGCCCACACCACCTGTACTTGTTCACTTGTTTGACCACCCTCACTGTGAGCACCATAACTTATAGGATGTGGTCTGTGTAGTCCCGCAATGGCTGTCTCGTACCGGAGGGACCAAAAATCTGGGAGTTGTTCAGTCCACCAACAACTCCAGTCTGGTGCTAAAGGCCTGGAGGATTGCTGCTTGTCTTCAGTCTATGTTCAAATCCTGAAGAAGTGGGTTCTAATCTTGGTGAGGGACAGCAGCAGCAGGGTAGATGAACTTTCCAGAGAGTGTGAAGGCAAGCAGGTAAAAACCAAAGCTTCCTTCCTCCATTCCTGTGATCTGGCCGCCAGAAGGTGCCGCTCACATTTAGGGTAATTCTTGCTTCAGATAATCTGAGGTCAAGAAAAGACCAGCAGCTGTGTTTTAGTTGACCCCAGATGCAGTCAAGTTGACAACCAAGATTAGCCACCACAGTAATTCATGCCGGAAAAGGTGAGGCACTGTCAAACCTGCACCCACCTTCCAGCCAAGTAGCCTGCCGACTGCCTTCTTGCGTAAGCCCAAGCTCCGTCTACTTGTCTGATACTTTTGTACTATATACTTTGAAAGAGCAAGTTGTCATATTTCTTCTGTTTACCATATGACAGGCTGCGTGCTGTTTTTAGTAGGTAGACAATTTCTCCAATGCCTCAGAGTCGACCCAGCTGACTCTGTCTTACGGAAGAGGTAACTCCAGGTCCCTACACATGCAAGCTGTATCTTGTACCTGTGAGACTGCCCTGACAAACTCTCGCCATAATAACCAAGGGAACAGAGCAGAAAGGGCGGATTAGAGACAAAACCATCCTGCTGGCCAAGCCGTCCCGATATCAGGGAGAGAGTTAAAAAAAAAATTCAGAGAAAAACGGCAGAATGTAGTGATTAATAACCAGCCGTGTCCTTCACAGCCCTAGATAAACATAGTTCACCAGAAATAATTGCCTGAGTGAGCGTGGCCGATAAGTTTAAAGGCTAAACAAAGTGTCCAATTAGGTTTAAACAAGTTTTGCTGTTGCTAAAGTCTGCCTATGCAAAAGTATAAAAGGTGTGTGCTTCAGAAATTAGGGGTCCTTCCTCCTGTGAGAGTGAAGTGACCCGGATGCGTCAGAATAAAGATCCCTCTTGCTGACTGCATCAGTCTCCCTCTCATGTCTCTGTGTACTGTGTGTCCCAGAGTTGAGACTTCCAGGTCCAACACACTTCACAGCTTCAATTTGTAGTTCCCAGCATGGATTTACACCCACCTACACAGCCTTCTTACTAGTGCAGCCTCTGTGGTATATGTAGACCCTTTTCAAGGGGCTCTGGGATATTGACTGTCAATAAAAGAGAAGGCACTGCAAAACACTGACACTTCCTGTTAGGGACCTCGTCTGCCAGAGAGCAGTATGACCCAACCTTACTTATAGTTTATTGCCTCTTCTGTAAATATGTAATAACCTGTTTTCCAACTCCTCCCACCTTCCACCACCCTAAACACATACACATGCATGCTCATGTAAGTACACATACATGTATACATACACATGTACATAAGTAATATGTTGGAGGAATATAAGAGAGTGGAGGTGAGCATTCATGATGATGTCATCAGCTCTGTGTTTCCCACAGGCCTGATACATGCTATACACACAGTAGGAACTTAAGTGTGTCTGGACCCACTGAGATGTAGGAAGGGGCCCTGTCTGGCCTCTCTGAAGCTAAGACAGGGGCACCCATGGAAAGTGAAAGACAGGCTGGGCTGGGCCTCGCGGTGGGAATGAGGTCCAGCAGTCCTGGGAGGCTGGTGTTCTTCAGCCTTGGGGACTCAGCTCTCTGGAGGAGGCAGGAAGCTCTCAGCTAGCACCGAGTGTGACAGGACTTCCATTCCCTAAAAGAGTCTTCTTGTTGGCTCTTAGGAAGCCTCTGAAAGATTCTACCATACTTTACACCCCACGTCCTAATTACCCCACAGATGTTTCACCTGACTCACTATTTGAACCTGTCTCCCTGTTGTTTCCTCACTTCAGGAAACACCTCTGTGCAGTTCCCCACCAGATGCCACAAAACATTCACATTAGAAGGCATCTTGGCCCTGAGAGTACCCCAAATCCTCCCACAAAGCTGGAGCTGACACTCTCATGGTGGCCTCCATAGGAAGCTGGAATTGTTGTTTATCAAGAGTGCTGGCGAGGTTCCAGGGTTCTCGATCACCCAAAGCCAAGACCATCCTCTGACTTCAGACCCTTAGCATACATAATTCCTTCTCATGCTTGCCATGAGGTCATTCACAGTGGGAGCCCCAGATGGTTCGATGCCCTCTCACCTCTCTCTTACTCTCAGGTACCTCTGCTTGGAGTGGTGCTACTGCTTTGTTATGGTCGCTATGGTTCTGGTCGGGCACAGTCAGGTGACTATGTTAAAACCACAATATAGTGAAATCTTACAGTAGACCAAGATTCCTCCCCAGAAGGATTGAAGGTACGGGGGCCAGCTTCTTGTTCTTGGCCTACCTAGTTAAAGCTGGGCAGCTTGTCCTGACTATGCGGACTGAGAGTAGCTATCAGAGAAAAGGGCAAGCATCGAGTTGTCTCCCAGGACACCTTCCAGTTCTCAAAGCTGGTCCTGGAGTTGGATGGGTGTCCCCTCTTTCTCTCTGGTAGCCTAACTTTGCCTCTCCTAGGGACCCAGTTAGAAACGGATTTGGGAGCAGCCCAGTCAAGAGGGTAGGAGAAACATGTCAATCCAGCAGTCTTTCCCTCTCTGAATCCTGGACCCCCTCACTACAGAGGAGTTTTGTCTTCACCAGAACACCGAGGAAGCATCATAGTCTATACCTTTCTTCTCTGGATATTTTGGATCTTCAGACTGAGAATCACAAGTGGATATTCCCTTTCCACCAAGTCAGATGGATCCTCTGGGCTCTATGAAGCCCATTTACCCTCCAGTGTGCAAATTCTGCCGTTTGTTCCCTGTCAGTGACAAGACCAGCCCTGGCCATTAACAGCCTAGCCCCAGCTCAGTGCAGAGAGTGGCACCCTGGATCATGGCATACAGATGCCAGTGATCAGGCCCTCTGGATTCTGAGAACTGTACACACAACAGACCAGGCCAAGTACCTCCTCTCTGGCCTGTGGCTCTGTCTGCCTCCAGCACCCTGTATTTCCCTTTCCGAGAAAGGGTAGAAAATCAAGGAAACCATGGGGACTTGGGAAAGAAAAGGAGGATAGAGAATTCCAGCACAGTTAACGGGTTTTTTTTTTGAAAGATTGCTTATACAGAGACAATATTCCTTTATATAAAATATTTCCAAGTAAAAATGTTAAAATAACTGGCCGTGGCAGTACATAGTTTCAATCCCAATAGTTGGGACACAGAAGTTGGCAGATCTCTGTGAGTTCAAAGCCAGTTTGGTTTACATAACAAGGTTTAAGTCAGCCAGGGCTACACAGGGAGAGCCCACCTCCAATAAATAAATAAATAAATAAATAAATAATAAAAATAAGTAAGTTAAAAGAGCAATGAACATCCTCAAGGCCTGAGCTAAATATGTCCTTGGTTATAACTACCTGATACATTCTAGGACTCAAACACACAAGACTATTGCCTTCCGTTTACAACAATGGTACCCTACTTCCCTAAACCTGCGATCTAGGATTTACTTGCCTAGTGTTCCTCAGAAACATCACTGCAGTCTCAATTAAATTTTTGTTTGTTTTTCAAGAGAGGATTTCTCTGTGTAGTCCTGGCTATCCTGGAACTCACTCTGTAGACCAGGCTGTTGAACTCACAGAGATCCACCTCTGCCTCTGCCTCCCGAGGACTAGAAGTAAAGGCATGTGTCACTACTACACCCAGCATCATCTAGTTAAAAAAAAAATTGACTTGTTTATTTATCTTTTCAGTATATGAATGTTTCGCCTGCATGTGTGTGCACTACGCATGCCTCAGAGGTCAGAAAAGAAAGGAGAAGAGAAGATCCCTTGGAACTGGAGTTACAGACAGTTGTGAGCAGTCATGTGTGTACTGGGAACTGAACCTGTATCTGTAAGTGCTCTTAACCTCCGAGCTAGTCCCCAAGTCTCACCCAGCATTTAAATTTCTTAATAAGTCTTTGAAGGTAATACCCTCAAAACACACCAAAATCCCATTCATGCCTATTTTAAATACAAGAAAGGGCAACTTTCCTTTGAGAGGGGAGCAGTACCAGCTTCTCCCTCTTGACCTCTCACCCCTTAGGGGGAGGCATGTGACTCTTATTTTTTCCTGAAATTCTTTCTATTAACCCCTGTCCTTGAGTCAATCTATGTTTCAAATGTTTTTTTAAGGGCTGGCGAGGTAAAGGCATTTGGCTCAAAAGTATGACTGCCAGGGATCCATCTCCAGAAAACTTGTAAAGACCTAAAGAGAAAACAGACTCCACGAAGTTGTCCTCTGACCTCAACAATTTGTGTACACATACATACACATGTGCACGCCTGTGCACATATCCATGCTCACGCCCACACACATTTTTAATGTCTTTTTTCCGGGGTGTAGTTGGACCTGGCTTTAATCCCGGCACTCTGGAAGAACAGGCACCAGAAAATATCAAAGAAAGAAAGGGCCATCTGCCAAGCAGCTAAAAGCACTTGCTGCCAAATCTGATTGCCTGAGTTTGATCCTTGGGAACTACATAGTGGAAGGAGACAAACGTGAAGTTTGATTCTCCACAGCTAGTGTGGCTCTGGCTTTTCTCCAGAGTCCTAACTGCTCCACGCCACATCCTAATATGAGAATTCTCAGCCTTCTTCCAGCAGACTTGGGTTCTGTGTCACCCTAGGGAGGGTGAGACCAGCAAGAGTGAGAAGTTGGGATTGTTACTCTTTCTCTGTTTAGTCTATGGTCCCAGATCCCAGTCATCTTGGCTCTCGGGCCCTGGAAACCTCTGGAGCTCTTCCAGCTATAACAAGACCTCTTTACCTAAGTAAGTCAACAGAATGACCAGAAGCAGGATGAGCCTGTGTCCACCTTGTTTGCAGCCGGCTCCTTTCTGTTCCAGTTCATGCTAAGCTCTGCATATAGGCATGGCAGTTGCTCAAGGAGCATCTGTCTAACCTCTCTGAACTCCTCATGGCTGAAGAAACAAAGACAGAAGCCTCTGAAGCATCTGTCGGCATTCACAGTGTGGTGTTCCAGATCCTCCAAAATGCACGAAAAGTCTCTAGTCATTGTTCTTAATTTTCAGTGGCCCAGGTTGTCAGAATAACATTCTCACAGATTCCTTAACACAGTCACCCCAGCAGGAGGAGTCACCTCTTGGGAACCCCATTATCTCTCAAGGAGGACTTCTTGGCAGCACCCTACTCAGTCAGAACTGTGACCAACCAGACTTCATTGTGACCAGGACTTCTTAATGATGTGGATCCTTCCCATTCCTCTATTTAAGCCCAAAGCTCATGTTATTATCTTAAAGATGAGTTGACAGACTTTGTTGTCATTTTTGCCCAAAGACTGTATTGGTTAAGTTCCTTTCCTGTATTTTTATTTGCTTTCTTAGGGGTGCCAGTAGAACCCATGTCTTGGAACCCCCAGAGTTGGATCTCTGTTTCAGGACTTGAGTTACAGGGCAACATGGTGTGTCACCTTTCTGACACTCCCTTCCCGATGCCTTTGCAACTGATGCCTCGCTGAATCTCCTGACGGGTCTGACAACATGACCCATGTCTACTGGGTGTGAGTGCTGAGCCATAAAGGAGTTAGAAGCAGGTCTGATCCCCTCTGCACCCCATCTCACACCACACAGTGGCCTTCAGCTCAGTATTGAGCTGGAAGTTGCATGCGTGGAGCCCCAAGAATTTTGGAATAGAAAGTCACAAGAAGAACTTCAACTCCACAGCCAGAAGTTGGTTTCTACTTACACTAAGACCCAAACAACAGGATCCACAGGGTCTCTGACCAAGCATAACATAGATTCCCGTTTCTCTGAGTGACCAGCCTCAGAAGTTTACACATATCAACCACAGCTCACTTGTGCACACCAAGTCCCTCTCCTGTAGGCCTGGGCAACTGCATGCCCTGGCTTCCATACTCATGGTTGGATGACAAGAAAGAGTGCTCTATTCTCTTCTTCCCACTCAGTACACACCAAAGAACCCAGCTGCTGCCTCTGCTCCTCCAGGAGCTTAGTATGAGGCACCTGGAGAGACACAGATCTACTCTGCTCCTGATGTCCAGGATGCCTGGACACTACCTCAGCCTCCCCTTTACTCTGGACAAATCCTTGAGACAAAGACATCCAGTGAAGAGAGGGTCCCAGAGAGGCTGCAGCCAGGGACACCCTGCCTGAGGGTTTTACCCCACAGGCTTTAGGGCCCCAACACTCTGGGTGTCTCATCCCCTCGAGTTCTCACCTGTATGTGTGCTCCAGCTTCTTACCTGCTCCTCTGACAGTGAACTCTGGCAAAGCCTCACTGAGCTCATTCTGACTTGAGGGTGTGGCTGAGAAGAGGCAACCCAAGAACTGCCCACTTTTATACCCAATGGACTGAACTGTATTGATCCAGGAAGAAAACAAACTGGGAAACAGTGTCATTTGCAGGAACTGCCCTGAATCCACACAACAGTGACGAGTTTCTGAGTGACTCCTTCATTAAAACATTTTAATTGGAAGCGGCTTTTAACCGCTTGTCTTAGAAACACAGGAAGAAAGTCTAGGCTTTTCCTAGAAAAGTCCTGGCTGGGGTTAATGTTTGATTCAGGGATCAAGGGCTGCTCATTTAGGGGAACTTGTTTCCTTGCATGGGACGTCACAGGGAAGACTACTCTGGCAATCACACAGGGAAAGGCAGGAGTGTTAGAATCGAGCTAAGGTAGGCAGGAGCCTAGTGCCCACACTGGACACAGTCCATGGGTTCCACACTCACGGGGTTCCCAGATACCCCTAGTGCCAACACATGTTAGAGAGAGGGTCAAATAACCGTGATCCATGATTGTTGTATCCCCCTTGGCAAGGCTTTGGCGACCAGACCAGAGGTAGGGGTCCTTGGTATGGTTTGGCGAGAATGTCCCGTGGTAAGAAATCTTAAGGGCAGCTGAAGGTTCCCAGTGGTTCACCCCACCCATCAAAATGCCTTTCATGTCTCCGTGAAAATGTGAAAGTGAAACTAGATTGTTTTGAAACTACAAGGCTGAGACAAGAACATTACAGGTCTTTTCCAGTGATAGTCCCAGCTCTAGTGTCAGAATCTGCAGGTGATGTGTGCTTAGTCTTCTGGAGAGTCTATGTGCAAAAAACCCACCCCCATGTGTCTGCAGTCCTGCTGTGTCTCATTGGCAGACACAGCTGCTTGTGTCCTGCTGAGCTCCACCAGGAGTCACCTTCTGCACTTCCTCTGGTTGGAGCCTCCACTGCCAGGAGTTGTGACAACTCCTGTCTCATCCATAGAGTTTTCAGAGACTTATGCTCCAAGGTCACTCTCAATTTCTTCAGCAGCATCTGCTGAGAATTTAGGAGTGCTGGGTGTCTATTTCCTGTTGTTCTCTGTGGCTTAATTCTACTATTCTATTTTTAATTTCTCTCTTTCTCTGTCTCTTCTCTGTCTCTCTGTCTCTGTCTCTCTCTGTCTCTCTGTCTCTCTCTGTCTCTCTCTGTCTCTCTGTCTCTCTGTCTCTGTGTGTGTGTGTGTGTGTGAGAGAGAGAGAGAGAGAGAGAGAGAGAGAGAGAGAGAGAGAGAGAGAAAACAACTTCAAGTGTCCTACCTTAGGCACTAATTTTTGAGACAGGGTCTCTCATTGGCCTGGGTTTCACCAGGTCACCAGGTATGCTAGTAAGTCTGACAGATTTCTACCTTTCCAGTGCTGGGATTATAACTGTACACATCATACCCACCTTTTAATTTTTTTACACGGGTTCTGGAGATCAAACTTGGGTCGTCATTTTTTTGTAAAGCCATCGACTTACCAACTGAGACATCTCTTCACTCCATCCCATCCATGAATTGCCTTTCATGCTTTTTGGGTTTGCACGCATGATTCCGTGGTCACACACAGGATCCTCTGTAGATATGGCTCATGTCCTTGGGCCATATGTGTGGTCTCTTCTTGGGAAGCTGAGTCTTACAGGTGTCTCCATATCTAGGTAGCCAATAGCATGGGTTACTTACCAGCCTATCTGGACTGACTTGAGCCAACAGTGATGAGGGGGAAGGGAAGTGGAGTGAATGGAGTGTTAGTGGAGACTTGGCGATGGACCAGGAGGAGAGATGTGCACAGGGTGGGGGTAGGGGTCAGATTGCAGCTTAGATCTCTGCTGTCAGGAGCTCAGACTTTAGGGTCATTTTCCTCTGGGGTCTGAATAATGTCCTCACATCTGTAAAATATCACCTGAGGTCAAACACTAGCCTGATTAAGAAGACCTGGCTTTGGCCCTAAAGAAGAGACTCCAGGCTGTGACTACCCTAGAAGCACAAAAGAGACAGTTCATCTGGACCAATGGACAGCCAGGAAACACCACAAAGAGTGGCCTTTCTCCTAGGATGCAAGTGACCGGCCCATGTCCAGACTCAGGGTCAAAGACCCTGCTGGCTCTGACCCGCAGAACAGCAGGAGGAGCATGCACTATCCTGGAATCTCCTGTGAGCTTCTCATGCTAATGACAGAGTCAATGAGTGTCACTGTGCCGGGCAATCTCATGGGCACATGTGGACAATGCATGTACACCATCATTCAGGGACACATGACCTAGAGCACACTTCTGCCTGAGTGACAGAATTGTTCCCTGTGCTGGTGGTGAGTTTGAGGTCCCTTGACACAGATAGCAGTGTAGTGCAAATGCAGACAATTTCTTGGGACTAGCTTCCTAGTCTATGAGGAAAACTCTGTTTGAGGGCAGGCAGCATCTGCCCAGGTGGCCTTTGAAGGTCCCTATAAGAATTCTATGTCCTGAAGGACTTCTGTCTTTGGCCTTGACAGAGAGAACCAAGACAGGGAGCACAGTGGGACTGACATTCACTTAATCCTCAACAGACAGAACCTGAAAAGACAGAAGTCATGGAGATGAGAATAGTTGAAGTCCCTGACTCAGTTTTCTTCTGGGATTCCTGTAGCTGCAGGGTACAGAGGGACTTCATGGGCTTGGTAGTTTCCCCTTTTCAGTAGAGGTTCAAATAATGACTTTTAACAGAGCTTCCTGCATCAGCATATGTGACTGGTTTAGAAAACACATGACAAGCTTCAAAGGCCAAGACACATAGGGCCCTGAGCTGTTAAGTGCAAGAGGAGATCTGGGGAGTTGATGGGCTGCAACAAGACCTGTGGCTGTTATCATTCAATTTGATTACATTTAGAACTACTGTGAATCACCTCTCCGTATGTCTATGCCAGTATTTCCACAAAAATTTACCTGAGGAGGATGTGGGTCGCATCATATGGGCTTGGAATTCCAGGTTGAACAGAGAAGAGACAGCAAGCTAATCCCAGCACTTGGGAGGCAGAGGCAGTTGGATCTCTGTGAGTTCAAGGCCAGCCTGATAACACAGTGAGTTCCAGGACACCAGGGCTACACAGAGAAACTCTTGAAAAACCGAAAAAGAAAAGAGACAGCAGGCTGAGCAGCCGGTCGGTTTTTCTGCCTCCTGACTGAACACAATGTTTCCAGTTGCTTCACAGTTTTGCTACCATGCTTCCTCACTGATAGACTGTGTCCTCAAACTGAGACAAAATAACCCTTTCTTCCCTAAGCTGCCTGCTTCAGTTATTTTGTTCAAACAAGAAAAGTAACTGAAGGACGGTCTCACAAGACCGTAAGTGAAGACCGAGGTGCTATGGATCACCTTACTTTGACCTGACAAGTCTTGCTGTGTCTGTCACAGACTGGAGCCTCAGAGACACCATGAGACTGGCTCTGGAGGCTACAGGCACCAGGCAGCGTCCCTGGTCTCGGCTTTCATTCAGGTACCAGTGTGTGAGGTTTCTTGAAGATTTTTATGTTTTTGACTAACAACTGTATTTCCCAGCTGATCTGATAGTCTCGTCACTGTCTTATTATGTTTATTTAACGATTAGTATCCAGGATACAGTACAGCATATCTAGTGTTCAGTGACAGGGCTCAGCAGATAAAAGCATTTGCCTGATGACCTGAATTTGATTTTTGGAATCTTTGTAAAAGCCAGATGTGGTGCATGTATCTGTCATCTAGGCACTCTTAGCACCAGTGAGGTAGAGATTGGAGAATTGTTTGGATTCTCATGGGGTAGCTAGGCTGCAACATATATCCACAGTAGCAGAATCAAGAGAGATTCTGCCTCAAAACAAGGTGAAAGGCAATAACTAACTCCCAAAAGTTGTCCTCTGCTCTCCATAATACACCCTGGCGTGTCCATACCTATACTCATACACAACAACAATGATAACAAAATGATAATAATAATAATAAATAAAAGTAAATAAAGTATGGAATTTCTACCAAAAAATCATTTTTTAATTGTAAGGGAAAATCACATTGTAATTTGGACAAAAGAAAGAACAAAAGATCAGAACAGTCGGTAGTGGATATGAATCAGGGAGTTCAGACTGGGGGGGGGGTCTGCTGAAGAGAGGCCCCCAGGGAATCCCAAGGACTCTCTCTGATCCTCAGGAGAGCCATACCTGCCAACCAACACCTATACCCTTCCATAGAGCCCTGTTCCTAACAGCACTCTGCCTTGCAGGGGCTGGAGTGGGGAGATGATTCATCTTAAAGTTCTGTCTCCCTATTTTGGCCCTTGGAACCTGACATCTGGGTTTCCCAAACGTGTTTCTATTGTGAGTCAGAAATCAGGTATGTCTGCAAGTTCTACTTGAAGCAAATTTTGGTGCACCATCAGGCTTATGCTGGAGATCTTTGGGTAGTAGAGAGACCCTGATCTCAGAGGTTTAGCAGAAGAAGCCCGTGCTGAGTGTAAGAGCTGTACAGCTTGGTAATTCCCAATTTGGGAAAGAGTTGAGGAGCAGATCAGATGACTGAAGACCATAATCATGAGGCTGTACTCTTGTTCATGTGACCAAAAGATGCCTAAACTGTTTTCCAGCTTTCAAGGCCCTTCTTCAGTGAGTGACTGTCCCCTCCTCTGCACAGAACCAAGGGTTCCATTATCCTCAGGGGAAGGTCTTTTGTGCTCAGCAAACTGAACAAAGTCTTTTGCTCTGTCAAGCATGTAATAATGATTCCATGGTATTTGGGGTTCCATAGGCCTCCAAGGGCTAAGAACATGATAAGCCCATGCTGGTGGCCTCACTCTGGAATCAACTCTGCAGGCAGCTCCCTTCAGCTTCCACTGGCCACAGACTGAGAACCTTTTTACCTAGACAGGGAGAGATGAGAGGAAAGAGAGAGGGGTGAACTCCTGAACTGAGACTTCTGTTCAGACAGGCATAGGCAAGCACAGATGACCTACCATCTCATACATTGCATATATGAATGGTCATGCCAGATAGCTAAGAATGCTCAGCTCATTCTTACATACCACCTCCCAGCAGAGCCTGGAGCTAAGCCTAGGATGGACTTACTTCCAGGGCATCTGAGGCCTAAAACATCCTGGATCAAAAACATAAGCTCCCAAGAGTCCCAAGAGGATCTTGAAGACTATAGACTCCAAACTGCCCTCCAAAGAGTGCCAGGGTCAAAATAAACCTCGAGAACAGATGATCCTTGCAGACCCAATTCAGGGCCTATATTCTTAGCTGTATCACGCTAAAGAAAAGTTCTTGGAGTGGACCCTGCTGTCTTGGTCCCATGTGGCCTCTACAATCCCTCTGAACCTCTTTTGTAGAACTCAGGGTCACCCCAAGGCAGTGCCAAGGAAGGATGCCGAACACCTCCCCCATTCCTCAAGTCAGGCACTGAGGTACACACCCACTGGGGCTTCTAGGAACGACGGCGCCTGTAGCAGACAAACGTAATGATTCCGGTGACTCCCAAGACGGCAATGATGACTCCCACAAGGGTCCCAGGCTTGGCCTCTAGCTGAGAGCTCTTGACCGGATCTGAAGTGGGTCAGTCAGGGGTGAGGGTTTTTTATCACTGATTCTTTATCGTTCACTGACTCATACCCCTATTTTCCCCGCTATCTGTCACCTGGTGACCCCACACCCTACTGGGCAGTGACACCTGCTGGACAAGTACAAGGAGGGCTAAGGGTGAAGGGTCCCAGGTGGGCAGCACTTGGCTCTGTGGCATCAGGAGTATCTATCTGGAATGCATAATCTGGAGGCAGGGTTATGACATCTACCTGGGTCGGGTGTGAAGAGCCTCGTGTCTGTGACCTTGTCCTCGTTTGAAGGCTCTGTCAGAGACATACCATCAGGTTGAGTGTTATATGAATTCACCCCCGCCTCAGTTCCAGCTGCGGGGGTCCTGCTGCCTGGTTTCAGGAGGAACAAATGTCAGACTCACCTTTAGGGGCTCACTGACTACGAGCAGATTGAACTGGTATAGGGAGGGTGGCGGCCAGATGGAGCCTCAGGGCAGGAGCTTTACAGGTATAGAACGGGTGGACTGGACAGTGGGTTTCAGGTTGGGAGGGATCCATTTCTAGGTGCAGTAAGAATGGGTGTGCTTACAGCACATCAAGGGGTATGCTGGCCTCTAGAGGGATGTAGGGGTGCACAGAGGGGTGTTGGAAGAACAGAAGTCTTCTGCACTTATTTGTACTTTGTGAATAAACAGTGAAAGTAGCTAGGACAGTGTTCTAGATAGCCTTGAATGTCAATGTGACACAGCCTAGAACCACCTGAGAAGCAAGTCTTAGTCGAGGGACTGTCTGGATCAGATAGACCTTGGGCATGTCTGTGGGGGATTGTCTTGATTGTTATCTGATGTAAGAGGGTCCAGCCTACTATAGATGGCCCCATTCCCTGAGCAAGTGGTCTTGATCTAGATAAGAAAGCTAGCAAAGGGGGCATACACCTTGAATTCCAGAATTTAGGAGGCAGAGGCAGGGGGTAGGGGGCAGGGGGCAGGGGGCAGGGGGCAGGGGGCAGGGAGCAGGGAGCAGGGGGCGGGGAGCAGGGAGCAGGGGGCAGGAGGCTGAGGCAGACCAACCATGGCTAAATACATACATACAGAGAGAGAGAGAGAGAGAGAGAGAGAGAGAGAGAGAGAGAGAGAGAGAGA